AGGACTGGTCCTAGATGAAGTGTGGCTCTGCAGGTTGGTACCAGTCAATGAGGAAGACGAGTGTTTAAGGCCGTTTTTCTTTCAACTGAACCCTTCGTTCTTCGCGTGATAGTAGGAATTTCATTTCCGCCGATTGCACGAGGTGTGAGAGGGCGGGGCCAGCGCGGATGAGCAACCTCTCTCACTCAGGAGGCAGGCAGAATTGGATCATGATAACATTTGCTACTGCAGCGTTTCTCGCCGAGAGCAGGGACTGGTGAGATAGCAATGGATGTTGGGCTTTGGGTGTGGGCGGTGTGCGGGGAGGAACGTGCTGTGGATGGAGGGCGTATGGGTTGGGTGGTGGGCGATGGTCAGTGGGCTACGGGCAGCGGTGGGCAATGGAGGTGGACAGTCGCAAAAGGCAGTACGAAGTGGATATGAGGCAGTAGACAGTTGGCGGTGGGCGATGGGAAGTGGGTGGTGGACAGTGTGCATTGAGCGGTGGGGGTTTGCGCGGCCGCGTGGCGTGACAGGCCCGGCAGCCGGAAGAGCGCGACGGCCTTCGTGGCGTCACGTGCGGCTCGCGCCTGATGGATTCGTCTGCGCGCGCCCAGAGGGCAGGCCGCCCGCCGCCCCACACGCTCGAGTAGCTCTAGTGGAGGGGCCGCGGAGCGCGCGCTCAGAGGAGAAGGTGGGGCGCGTTCATCGGGGGAGGTCAAAGCGGCTAAGCGCCCTCCTTCCAACATTTACCAGAATAATCTCATCTTTCTTCCTTTCATTTCTCTTTCTTTCATTTTTCTTTATTTATTTTTTATTTTATTTTATAATCGTTCATTTTTTTAAATTGGTCGGATTTAAATTCTCCTAATGAGCTCATTAGAGGTAAATATACTTCTACCGTCTGCATTTCACTCTTTTCAATTACGTTGAAAATGTCCATCAAAATCAATTTTCGTAATTCAGTTTTGTTTTAATTTGTAAAGATATGATTAATATTTTAACCCTTAATATTAACCATTTATAATTTTGTAACCCTTGTGATAAAATTTGTCTTTAAATTTTTTAATATTTTCTACTCAATAAAAATGAAAGTATAACATTCATTTTCTGATAAAATAATTATTATTTTATGAATTTCGAAAGTAATGATGTATAATTGAATGTAAAATATTAATAGTTTTTTTCTATAACTTGACAGTTTACGAATATTAATAAAATAAAAGATTAACTCTCAAGAATGAATCCCATATTTCTATTCTTCTATTACACTTTGTATAACAAAATGTATGCCCAAGTGATGAATATGTTACGTTGTTAGAAACTGCAGAGTGAAGGTTTAGATTGACAAAATACAAAATTAAAAACTCTGAGAATTATTACTTTCAAAATGAACTTCGTTTGATGTATCTTAATAAATGAATTTTAGTTATATTTTCATACATATTCGTCATCTTTTATATTGAAAACAATTGTCTCTATATTGCAAGAAATTTACAAAATAAGATCTCTTATATTTTAAAAAGGGACAACTAGGCATCATTTTCAACTGTTTTATCCGCAACGTTTGATGTATGTTGGTCTTTGCTTCATAGCTAATGAGTTCAAAATATTTTCCATCAAATAACTGTTCGAAAGTCAAAAGCCCTACTCTACTGGAACATAGAAATATAAAGAAAAGTTTATGATACCAAGAGCAATCCGATAATTTCGAAATGTTTGCATTTCTGTTTGATTTTCTTTGATGTGAGGGAAAGCAAATAAAATGTTCTAAAAACTCGCTGACATCAATATCCCATTAAACTTGGTTCATTCTCCTGTGAGTTGGATCGAGAGGGCCGATTCCAGAAGTGGGTGTCCCGTGTGTGTTTTCGCCCTATGCAAAGAGCTCATTAGGGTTATTTTGCGAACCCACACAATGTCACGTAGTACTATCCAGCTCGTGATCTCTGTATGTCATTCGCGATTCTTTGAGACTACGTTTGTTTTCTTGTTCCCTGGGTGATGCAATTTTAACGATAATTAATACATTACTTTCAATTAATTTTGGCAATAGTTGATGAGATTGCGTAACATCAGTGGAAGCCTGAGCATCAGCTGCGAGCTCGTGAACATATTTAGTGTTCCATCAATCATGCTTTTACACTTTGTGCTGTCACAGTCAGGCCACCTCGTTGGTCGCTGTTGTGATTCTCCTGCTTCGTATCGCAACCCAATTGGTGGGTCATACCGTCAAAGTGAACGCGGCAGCGAAATTCGAAAAATCCGAAGAGCCCTCTGTGCGGACCGATCATGCTAATGAAGTTTTGGGAAAAAGGAGTATTGTTTTTGTGTGCTGTAAACTCATATTTTCTGTTGAATATCGTGGATGCAATTCTACTTACATTCAATGAAAATATAATTCGTCTTTTTGAGCTTTTTTTATTTCTTTTAATTTAATATTTCTATTTTTACACTTACTGAAATTCTTAATCCAAGCCATTGAACATTAGTAATGTTTTATTTATTTACTTTATAACATAAGTTTATTTATATTATTTGTATACTACGTCAAAACATTGTCTGTTTGTTACTTAGAAAGGCGGGATGAAAGCTTCAGAAGCAAAGCAATATCAGCATTTGCTTTTTGTCTCAAGGCTAACTGGACAAACACCAGATTGAGGGAAAGGTCAAAGACCCAGACGCTATTTACAATATTTGTTACAGATACATTTGCAGCAAAATTAGTTTTCAAACTTGTTATCTAATTTCTATAAATGTTAATATTTTCAATGAATTTGCATCGTTTTAATACGAGTAACTTTTAGGCCATTATTATCTATTTGTAATAATTGACTTTTATCCTAGAAAAATTTGACATTTTCAGTAGAAGCTTAACCTATAACACCATTATTGCCCGTGTTTATTAGAATTAAGATGTTTTGTCAGGGACGTTTAGGATTATATTGATATTTACTTGCTCTCTATTGATAACTTTAATACTTTTGACTACCTTTGTAGTACATGCAATTGCTCGTGCCATGTGAAGACAATATTTCAATGTCGAGTCAAGAATGGATATGACACAGTGATCGCCGAGAGCAAAGGATCATATGTTTTCATCGTGACAGTGTATTATTTTATCTTGTTACTAAAGGCATTGGTAAAGATCGGATTCTCTTCAAAAAGAAGGCGATCATGGCTTATTCCAAACACGAGTTTAAAAGTTATTGATTTCTCCGCGTCTTTATTGACTTTCTAAGATAATTAACTGTTCAGAGTATTGTCTTATCTCATGTATTGAGTTCAGTACAATAGAACAATAATCTAGACCGTGAGAAATGTTTGTAGATGTGATTGTTTTTCTTTAACATCAGTGCTAGAGCGAAACGTCCACCCATCCGTCCATCCGTCTGTCTCTCCATCTGCTCGTCCGTCAGTCTGCTTGTCCATCCATCTGTCTATTTGCCCATCTGTCTATCCGTCTGTTTGTTCGTCTGCCTGCCTGTATGTGCATGTCTGTCACCCATCCGTCTTTCTATCTGCCCCTCTGTCCGTCTGTGAACAAAACTAACGGATAAACAGTAGGAAGGATTTTCACCAAAATTGATGTCTCCCTAGCTATCTTGCTGATGTTGCGGTTGTTTGAATTCGAAAAATGTATATTATATTTTTGGGATTCTTTACATAAAACCTAAACAACTGTTTAAATATTTTCTAAAAAATGTTTCGAATTTTTTCTTAATTCTTTTCTCATTTGCAACAAAGAACCCATATAAAAACTGTATGGGTTCGATTACCGTTGAATTCTCTGAAGTTTCAAAAATTGCAAAATATAATTTTTTGTCGTCTTTCTACAACTACGACATTGAAGACTAGACAGTCATCTCAGTAAATCTATACTTCAAAATTAATTCTTTAAACAAAGTAATGTACGTTTTTTAAAAATATAAGTAGTTTTCAATTAATTTTCGTGAAATAAAGGCAATTTTGAAAAAATGTATTTCTTAAATTTTTGAAAACATTTTTGAATGGATAGATCTAAATGAATACGGTATAAACGTTACTTTCATGTAATATTTTAATTTTTGAAAAATTATACGAATGTATGTTCGAGTTGAATTATAATATTACCAAACCCTTGTAAATAATCAAAGAAAGTACATGGTGTTGTAGCACCACTAGTATTTTTACTTGCATAGAGTTGTTAGTTTTGTATAAGTTAAATTGAATTTTATTAATTTGGATGTAAATAAACACTATGTAGTTCATTTAAAATCTTGTAGATTACTATATGTTAGTAATTTAGCAATTATTCAGTATTTGATTCCTTATTATCCTTATTCCTTCGGTGTTTATCATGTTCTACATCAGCGGTGTAGTTGTTTCACACTTAGAAAACTTTTTTAGATTACGTTCATCCACTATTTTACTTTATTTCGATGTTGTGTATGAAAAAATTATATTATAATAAGATAAACACATTTACATGCAGGTATCTTAGTGTTGCTGAAAACCGCATGAAAGAAATGAAAACTTAATTAAAATTCTGGGCTGTTATTATTTGTGTAAATATATTATTTTTTTCACGAAAAGTATAAGGAATGTTTGACTCCACTGAAAGACAAGCAAAATATTTCTGATTTTATATTTTATTTTTGATTTTGCAATATCTACGCTTACACAGATTAATCAACATCCTCTTTCTTACTTACAAATCTCAAAAGTTTGAGCAGGCTACATTTCTAGAACACTTGCTCACCATCCCATTGCTGATAACATTTATTCTTAAACTACATATTTTGACCAAGTAGTTACAAAGCGAGCTATTTTTTATGTAAATTTCCAAAAATTTGAAATTCCGACAGGTAACCGGACAGCCATCAAGAAAGCGAACTCGGTTCTGTACAGTTGCAGAAGCCTCCATGTCTGCCTACGCCTTGCCCCCGGGAGCGAGCACACAGCGTCGCCTGGCGTCGGCGTCGAGACGTCGCGATTTGCGCCTCGAGCGGCCGGCACTCTGATGAGCTAATGCGAGGAAGGACGGACGCCGCCGCCGGAGGCGCAGGGGACAGGGGCTTCAATTGACCAATTGGCTAATCCCGCGCGCACAATGGCCCGCCCACCACCGCGCCGCCGATGACGAGGGCGAGGACGTCGCGACGCCGTCGCCGTCGCCGCCGGCCAAGGCGCACCGTGACCCGCGCCATGGAGCCGCTGCTGGCGTCTCTGCCCCTCTGACCTGCGGCCGCGTGCCCTCCGGGAAGGTCAGTGCCTGCCTCCGCAGTGCCCGCGCCCGCGCCCGCGGCGCCGCCCGCCCCGCGGCCTGTGCTCTGCTGCCCGAGGAGCGTTCGGGGGGCTGCCCCTCGCCCACAGCCGCGCGGATCCACGACGACGGCGAGAACGCGTGGGATGAATGGTAGGGTTTGATCGATTTGCAGGTAAGATGAGTTATGAAACATATTCCAGTTTAGGGATTAACAGAACATAAAATTCGAAAGGTAGCGAGAATTTAACCTGTGCAAAATTAGAATTGAAGCTAAATAATATCATTGTTTCCAAAATATCTCAACGTTATAACTGGGCTTCACATTTGTAGATCTTTACATTTTTAGATGAGATTAAAATATCCAAAATCTCATCGCTGAGTGTGCATGTCTCTGATTTCGCCACCCAGTACATACAATAATGTCATTAAATGAGACATTACGTTCTTAATAATATTGAATTTACGAAAATAATAATGTGTAAATTGACTTTAAAATGACTTTAAAAATAACTCACCTTCGGAGTACCTGTACTAAAAGTTTTGTGCTCTCTAAATTTTTATTTGATTAACTATACCTGTCAAACAGATTCATTTTCTCCAGTAAAAGCAAACTGTATTGATAATTTTAATAATAATAATAATAATACAATAATAATAATAATAACAATAATAATAATAGTAATGTGTGCAGTATTGAATTTTCTTTTATATTTTTTCTCATGAAATTTGAATACTGTGAATTGATTTATCTGCGCATAAATAATTGGCTGTAATGTATTATATTTTTCGTTTATTTATTATTAAAATACATCTATATTTTATTCTAGAACATTTATTGACTGACAAGCTATTTAACTACAACATAATTGTTCTGAGGACTCTGTTCTCTTTTGAAGAGTGACTGATCAGCTCCGTAGCTCTGCGATCAAGTAGACAGTATTTTATATTGTTTGTTTTAGAAATGTATATTTTAGCTTTTTTTTTCATTTTGTCGTGTAAAAAGTTCGCTGTTTTACTGGCGTAACATTTCTAAACTATTACATCAATTTTAAATGAAGTATCATATTGTGATATATTATTTGAATTTAAGATGGATGTTGAACATTTTTTCAACTTTAGCTCAACGTACAGTTCAAATTCCATTATTTGACTAAAATACTGCAACAAATATAGACATGTTTCGAGTGATATGCTCGTGAGATAGCGCTCAGGACTTTGGAATGGTGTTGACACGAAACTAAAATTTCAACTAGTGTTTCATAGATGACAGTGAAATGGCAGAGAACTACTAACGATTCAATAACGTGTTGCCAAACGACATGACGCCACCATTGATTAATCACATCAAAACTGTATTGATGAATGTTTTTCAAATGTTCGTAACGTGTAATGGAATCAGCAGGTATAATACAATAGCACTTCAAAATAATAATTCTTCAAGAACAAAGTATATGCCAACGTTTTTTATATCCTTCAGTACTCGAAAATACATTAATATCAAAACATTTACTGCTATATTAGTTTGAATTTTTTCCTCAAGTGTCAAATCATTATTCCTTTACTCGACTTCTATAATGATGGGTTATTATGTAGTTAAAATGAAAGTTATATTCTATTTCGAGCAAAATATTGATTAAAATGAGCTTAAGAAACTATGTTCATTAGTGATATTAAAATTTAGTTTTGTTGAAACTATAGTGATATAGAAAATTGACTTTTGTACATTTTTAATTCAGAATAAAATTGAAAAAAATTGACAGTAATGCCCTTTCTAATCCACGGAATAATCAATAACCTCATAGATCAACATTTAAGATGTAGCGTTTCATTGTTTTGTTGACTAGACAGTGATCACGAAATTTCAAATAGTTGAGAGAGGAGATTCGTACCCAATAGACTTCAGAAAACCATGAATAAAAAATCAAAATTCAATAATGCTAACCTACAACTCGAACAGAATGGAGCACACATAGCGGCACAGCGTAAGTGATATAGAGAATAGATATTCTAAATGCATTACGTAATAATAATAATAATAATAATAATAATAATAATAATAATAATAATAATAATAAATTCATGTATACTCACCCAGATCTAAACTTCGTTTACAGAAAATACCCCAAATAAAAAATTCAAATAAAAAGATCCTCCGAATTTCTTCGTCTCTCATTGCACTTCTGATAAAAAATGCACACACATTCTCGTCATATATTCTAATCTTCCTGTGGCCTACGCTGGCGAATCAAGTCGAGGAAGTTTTGTATTCTTGACATTATGGTAAGGTGAATAGCGTGTATGTGAATGTGGTTGATCTTGTAACTGCCCTTGAGATAGAACCAAAGGATTCATAGCTGGTATTACAATCATAAGTGGCGCCTCCACGTGGCATGTTGGTAGGCGGCCATCGCGCTCACTATCCTTTGGATCGCTCTTCGGCTCGTGTGTTTTTAACTGAAAAAGGCTGTTATTTATTAATCATTGCTATGTAAATAATTCCATTGCACTAGGAAAAATACAAGTTTTTAGATCGATATTTGAAAGTAATCTGCGAAATATCTTCGCAAATCATTGTTCATTTCCGTTTACGATTGTATTGTCCAAGAGTAATTGAGAAATTGTAGTAGTGTAGGAAATTTCATGTTATAAGATGATTTTAAGCACATTACGTACGTAAAATTATGAAATAAATGACGTTCTGAAAGACGTCCTCACTAAGATTTGATTGCAATCTACAAACACAGAGAATTTTTAAGTAGTTGTTTCAAAGGTGATAAGAAATTTTTCAGTGTTTCTGGTAACCCGCATTATGAGGTGACGGAATCATTCAAAAATGTAATTAATCGTCCAAAAATATCTCCTATTGTATTTTAAGCGCAAAATGCATAACTTGTGTGTTCATAAGGGACGCTAAAATGTGTGTTGATGCCCTGGGACGCAACACATCCGACTTGTGCACGATGGTCAAGTGTGTTACAACATAGTGTGTTTTGCAAGTGGTAGGGGAGTCTGATTTCCCACTTACGCTATAATCTTCGAATTTTTGTTTTTCGTTTTCAATGTCATTGATGTAGGGTAATAATTTCGTATCCATTTTTAGTGCGTTTACGGGGTTTTGTGTCGATGATTTCGTATAAATTGAAAACATTTTTTTTTAAATCCTACACATATTATGAATAGAGTGGATGTGTTCAAATCCGGTCAGGGACGTAGGCATTTTGAGAGCACAAAGTACTTAACTCACACAATTTCCTTCAGAAGAGAGTAAAACTTTCTGACCCATGTAGTTGTAGTCCATGTAAAAGAACCTCAATGTGAAAAGACGCCTCTATCGTCCGCTGCCTTATTGAAATGTGGTGACGTGCCTCTTGTCACAATCTGATACCACGAAACAAGCACACCGAGGTGAATGATCAGCTAACAGAAAGACAGAGACCTTGGCTTAGACAGCAACTGATGTTACTTCTTCAGCGCCTCTGAGCGGGAGATCCTAGGGTTCGAGCCCCGACGGTGGTTTAGATACAAGTTGCATCGAACTGAACCATTGGAGGAGAACTCCGTCCGGTTACTCTTGAGTGGTACTTTTCTGTGCTTACTGCGGTCTTTATCAGGCGAATAATGGGCAAGCGAGCCACGACGGGACCTTCTCTTCCTCATTCTTGCCACCACCTCTCCTCTTTCATACACACTTACATGCACTGCACTACTACACGTGTCGGGAGCTTAGAGCTTGCCCTGGTAGAGGCGGTAACCCTCTGGCGGACTATAGCTGGAGGATCAACTTCGCAACGTATAGGTGGGCGTTGAAGGGAAAGGAACTGGGAAAGGAACAGCAGCACCTTCCGGAATTTAACATGTGCTCTATTTACGGGACTAATGACTGTAGTTGACCACCGTTGACGCGCCCGGAATCACAAAATAATCAGCCCGAAAGAAGCGTGGAGACTAATTAATTCGGTTGATAAAGACGTTGAGACGTCAAGCGGTGGAAAACGCTCAGTAATAATGAAAGAAATGAGTTAACAGTGAGGGCAAGTTGCAGCAGCAAACAGCCTGCGCGTCGGCTACCCCGCTGTGGCGCCCCGCAGACGCACAGTGGTTGATTTCCTTCATCTAGCTGTATTAAAATATTATCAAGAGAACGGTAAAGCGGCGCTGTTGAAAATGGTCAGAATTATTCTTTTGTGCCATTTTCATTATTTTTGTAATGTTGAGAACGAATTAATAATAAATTCATTGCCTCGAGTCCTCGATAAGGATTGCAGGTTATCATGTTTGCAACTCTTAAGAAGATATGCATGCATTGCTTACTAATACTACTAAAGGTTTGATGAGCACCCTAACTCAAACTGAGTATTCTAATTTAATTCCAACTTAACAGTGCAATAAACCATTCTTACATGTAATGAACAAACAAAAGTTCGATAGTAGAATAAGACTCTTTGAATCTGCTATTTCTACCTTACTGAAATACTCCAGGAACAACACACTTTTCAAATTCCGTCGGTTGCTGATTCCCAGTTGATAGTTTACGTGGATGCTTTTATTACAGATCAAAGAAATCAATAAGGAATGAAGCATATTTCATTGCACGTACTCTAGATGATTTTTCGAGTACAATCTTCTCGACGTGGACTGAAGTCTTTGGTGTCGAACTTTCTTGCTTGTCTTCGAAGCAGTTTTCCCTACTGGGACCATCAATTTCATTAATGAAATCAGCGTCATAATTAGATTATTTTGTGCATGCTTGGAAATACCATCCGTTATGAATATGACATAAAACGTTTATTTGTTTCAAAATGCGTTTTTTCTGAAAAGCTTCAGTAGTCGATCACACCCGCTCCTCACTGCCTTTGTAAAACAACAGAAGCGGCGAACGAGACTTCCAATCTATCCAGTGATGTTAGTATCTGCTCTACGACTTTGAACTACTGCAAACAGTTCCCTATCGTTCGATTCACGTCGCTTTGTTTTGGGGTGCACCATTAAGAAATTTTCTTTCGTATATTTGAGAAGTACTTTTGCGTTTTTTTCTGGGATTTACGTATAATTTTTCTCAAATCCATGAACCCGCCATTTTATAAAAATATAGTCTGTAAGATATGTGAAGAAGGGTCCTTGAAGAAATGAATTTTTTAACGTGAAAGACC